ATTGCCCAGGCTGGAGCTTGCAGATTGTCCTGCTTCAACCTCCAGAATAACTGGGAGTACAGGCATGTACTACCACCCCCAGTTTAACATAGCTACATTCTTAAAAGAGAATGAAGAGGACTCACGGATGGAACTCCAAGAATATGGTCCCAAAATGGCATAGCCCAATTGAGAAACTCTCATAAGTGGGCATTTATGTAGTATTTTCCATTGCCACATTGCTTATAATAACAAAAGATGAAAAACTAATAATTTTACCTATATTGTTGTTTACCATGTATTACAGAATTTAGTGTTTACCATGTAGTAAGATCACAGTGAAAAGTAGAAATTATTTAATGGTAATGAAATTATTTGTCAAATCTCATGAGAGATAATTTAATCTGTGCTTAGAACATATATACTTTATAAATAAGAAAAAACCCTGAAAACTGATCTAAATGTTTATCTCAGAAAGTTAGCAAACAAATTCAAAGACAGAAAGCAGGAAAAATAAAAGAGAACTTAATGAGATAAAAAATATAGTGGAAAGAATAACAGTACCAAAAATTATTTTTTGAAAACACGATAAAACAGATTAACTTTGTCATTTTGATTAACAAATAAAGAAAGCCTGTATTGCCAATATAAGGAATTAAAAAAGGATTCCACTGCGGCTTCTGTAGTTATTAAAAAGGCAGTAAAAGGAATGAAGTATAACTCTTCCAAAAGGATGAATATTTCCTACCTTGCTTCATGAGGCCAGCACGATGTTAATAATGATTTCTGACCAAAGCCGTTCTGAAAGGAAGTTTATAGGCAAACCTATTTCATGATTATAGGTACAAAACTAATAAGCCCAGCAGTATATTAAAAAAAATACATGTTACATAGCAAGAGAATACATTTCAGGAATGAAATTTTGGTTTAAAATTTAAAATCAATGTAATTTGTCTCAATAACAGAATTAAATGGGAAAATTAAGCATTTTAGTGGGTGGAAATTTTTTTTTTGACATAGTGAAGCCCTCATTCATGATTTTAAAGAGACACTTTTAGCAAACTGGGAGTAGAAAGGGGTTTCTTTCATCTGACTAACAGTATGTACAAAAAGCGTGCAGTAGATGCCATACCTGTGAGCTGCTTGCTGTGTCTCCTGAAGGACTAAGAATGAGAGACAGGGATGCTGGTTATCACTGCTTCCCTTCAGCTTGGTGCTAACGTGTCCTCTTGGGGGCCATAGGGCAAGAAAACCAGAACGGAAACCATGGAAAGGTACGAACAAGTTTGTCTGCAGTTGCACTGACTTGTCTTCTTCTCTGCGTGCAAAGTAACGCTCTGTGGTTACCTGGCAGGTACAGACTCACCCGTTCCCTGACTTGCACAGAGCCTCGTACATGTGAACGAAGATTCCTAGGTCTACGGGCTTCTTAGAGAAGGAAAGGTCCCAACAAAAGGCACTTCTCAAAACTGCCTTTCTAGTGTTCAGTCCTTTCTCCTCCAATCCCCTTCACGGGGAGGTGATACAGAGTTTGGCTTTCTGTAGCTAAGGAACCAAGATACACTCCTTACTTCTTTCCTTTTTCTCACTAACACTTAAATGCGGGTGTTGCGTATCCCCAACTTGATATGTAAATGTTTAACAAAGAAAGGGATCTGAGTGTAATGTGATACATAAGTAATGTTCCTTTTGTTTTGTTTACCCACGTCGTGAGCAAATGACCATGGTAGGTGAGCAGTTTTTAAGAAGCCTTTAAGGAATCTGAGTGTCATCATCCTTGTTATATTGGGAGCCTGTGGATTTATTTGACTGGTCTGGACGTTGAGTTCTACTGATTACACTATTTAAATTGTTTGCTCTTTTTCACATCCTTACCAGCTGATAGGAATTTTGCCTAAACCTGAAATGGCGGTAAAAGCCCCTCTGAGAAATGACAAATGATAGATCCAGCCAAAGATTTAAAAAAAAAAATCAGACCTTTCAGAAATAATAGGAAAACTTCTCAGAAGAGATGGTGCATCAGACTCAACTATTTTCATGTCTCCTATGAAATGGAGAATGGAAATTTCTACTTTGATTTTCCCCCCAAGCCCCAGGGTGTTTCTTAAAAGATACAAAGCCCATAAAGAAGAGGGGAACCCTAGGAGAGTCAACAAACCTTGGGACGTTGGAAAATGCAGTACATGTGACAGAACCTTAAGCCAGCTGTGAGAAGGCCAGGAGCCCACCTGTGAATACCCTAAGACTCCCAAGGGCTGTTGGCATGCGTACCTGTGGGAGCGAGGCTAAAAGTGTTGTTCAGCTGGGGCAGACTGATCACAGTCTGTTTAGGAAGAAAAACAATCTGTTGAGGAAGAACTCAGTCCCCTAGGCCCTGCCTTGTCCCCCGAAGGCTGAGCAGTCATTCTTTCCCTGCCACAGTACGTCCTGGAGTCCGCTCCAGGAAGGGGGCTGGAACCCATCCTGGGGAGCAGCAACCCTGCGAGGCACTGGCTCCATGATGAAGAAGACAGCACGGCCAGGGGATGTCAGGCTGCCGAGTGCTGGGCCTGTCAGCCCTTCATCTCCCTGACTTCCAGAAAGCTTCACTCCCTAAGCCGGAAATTAGAGCTCTTTCCCCAGAGAAATGGGCAAATTTAAGAGCAATGGCCATTTTCTGTGGCCCTGCCACATAATCCTCAGCAAGGCTGTCAGTCAGACTACGTGCACAGAGGGCTCAGTTAGCCCCACGTCTGTAAATGCGAGCGAGCAAACGAACAGACAGTTGTGAAGGAGCCAGCCTGTGTTCTGAGAGACCAGGACGAACAGAGAAGGTGACTTAGGATACAGGGACAGCACGGGGAAAGACCACCCGTAAAACCCTAAGAGGATGATGGGGCTTTTTAGCTCTTTACTTTTATAAATAAAATTTTTCATTATAATTTTTTGAACTTCTAACAATGAGATGTTGCAACAATAACACAGTTTTTTTTTTTTTAAAAAAGGAGCATAGACCAATAAAAGCTCTAAAAATTAAAAATACAATAAAATACCCTTGAACTTAACCAAAAGGCCAAGAAGCGATTAAAAAAATACAATAAAAGTAAACTCTAAAAGATTAAGAAATTCCCAGAAAGGAGGACAGACAGATGAGAAGTTGGCTTCTAAGTTCAAGTAAATTTTAGGTCTAATCAAATTGTCAGGCAAGTGTGAAGCCTGTGTTGGGCTTTTGTCACCGTAACTAAATACCTAGGGGGATCTCCTCGGGCTTTTTGGCTCACAGATTTGAGGCTTTGGTCTGTGACTGGTTGGCCCCATTGCTTTGGGCCCCACATCATGTCAGGAACAGGTAGCAATGCAAAGCCAGTCACTCATGCCAGGAAGCAAAGAGAAAAGCAGAGGAGAAGGTCGAGGCCCCACGGTTCCCTCGGAAGCATCCCTAGAGAGTTAAAGACCCTAGCAGCACCCACTGGGCACCAAACCTCCAGTCTGTGGGCCTTTGGAGACACTTGAGATCCAAGCTGTAGCAAGATGGAGAAAAGACATTAGCTGATGTGTGAGATTTCCAGTGTCCTTTCTCAGGAAGCTGCTGGAGACACACTCCATCCAAACAGGAAGGAAGGATGGGCAGTGTGTAGAACAGGACTCCATTTTAGGAGTCCAGGCCGTCACCAGGATGACAGTGAGGGGACTTCACAGATTGAAAGTTATAGCCGTCAAATCTAGAGTCTGTATAAGTTTTAAATTAAATTTTGTTTGAACATGCTCTGTACATTTTTGTCTGTGTTGTCTCTGGCTGCTTTCGTACGATAAGGCCCAGTTGAGTGGTGGTGGCAGAGACCAGATAACCTACCAAGCCTAGAGGACTTTCTACCTGGGCTTTTAAGAACAGATGTGAGCCAGTCTAGAAAGTTGATTCTAGACAGTTAGTTGAGAGCTTGTGGTTGAATTAGGTGTATGTACGTGGATAATTAAGCAAATGAACAGCAATATAATTGCTTAATGTGGGCAAATAAAAACTGAGCAAGAAGGGAAAAGTAGCCATGATTTCCCACATGAGTTGACAGGATTGTCCTCCGACCTTGAATTTACTGTGTACCCGCGCTGGGACAGTGCGAAGATGTGCATGGGTGGGAACGGGAAGAGAGGTGCGCAGGGAGACAGCGGCGAAGGCCGGAACTGAAGAAGAAATACACTGATAAGTGCCGAGTGATGGCTAAAAGAGGTGAACGTCGGTTCCTGTGGGGAGGGAGAAACAAAAGCAGAGGGACAGGACTGACATTTTTATACAGACCTTTTGCAGGCTTTTAGCTATGTACCTTTTACACCTTTGACAAAGAAGCACACTGGAAAACAAGACACTGTCCGAGGTCGGCAGATAGAGTCTTCATGCCACCCTTCCCTCACTTCCATGAGTATCACCAGTTACCCAATTTCATTTCCTGTTGACTCAGATGTGGGCCCAGCATCTTCAGGGTAGTGTTCCAGCAGCCTCTCCCAGTCAGTGACAGTTGTCCCTGCTCATGAAACCAGTGTCTGATCTGACTAGTGAGAAGCCACCTATTTGGGCAGACTGGGTCTAGCTCCCAGACTTTCCCGCCAAAGAATATTGCAAAGGTGCATTATGCAGCCGAGCATTTAACTAAGGGACTGATCGGTTTCTGATTTAGCTACCTTTTAAGCTGCATCTGTTCCATGTATGTTCCCACTTAAACCCATGAACATAGAAAAACATAATTTTTCTCAGATACAGGACATTATTCACAGATATGGGACAGTTTCAAAGTTTATTTTCAGCATCTAGCACAGGCCTTAACGCATAATAAGCTAGTGAATGTTTTAATGAATACATGAATGAAGTCTGTTGAATAATGAGTTTTAAAAGACCAACAGGCCTTTAAAAGCCAAACCAATCGTTGCAAAAGCAAAACGTGATTTGGTAAGTTTATTTGGCTTCTCATCACCAAAGCTGTGTTGTGATTCTGAGTGACTTTCACCTCTAAATTAAAGTAGTTTTTGTCTTTTTTCCTAACTCTTAATAGGATTTTTCCAATTAAGGATGTTCCCCTGGAGACGGATGGCCTTACCAATTGGCTCTATCAGCGGTTCATTGAAAAAGAGGACCTCTTAGCCCATTTTTATGAGACAGGTACGCAGTCTCTTCCATTGTGTGCACTTCTAAAGTTACTGGCAATTCCAAAGGCTTGTTGTAGGGAAGAGAACCATTTATTTTTTTGGTACCCCAAAGAAATCAGAGTGTTTCCATATTTAAGCATTTCCGCTTAGAATTCTTACAAAGACAGATGTGCGTTACATGCATTGGGGCCTTCGTCAGCCTGCATACAAGGGTCGCAGGACAAGTAGACGGCCACGCGGAGGGATGCGGCTCGAGAGAGTGTCCACAGGAGCCCAGTCTGCGAACGGGCACAGCTATTTCAGTACAGCCATGGGCTTTTTATGAAGTAGCAAGGAATGTTCATGTTTTGACATCTCACTGGATTAAGTAATATATTAGTCTTTTCAGGTTGTTTTAAACTGCATTTTTATAGGTGCATTCTTTACTTTGCATGAGTATTCATTTTTTTAAGTTTTCGTGGATACAAACTTAGTCTTTTCTTCTTTGAATAAAAAATGTGTCCTAGGCTCCCTTCTGTTTTTAATATTATCTACATTTTATGCAAACTAAAAACTATAAAATGCCTCAGGCATAGTGGTGCACACCTGTAATCCCAGCTCCTTGGGAAGTGGGGCAGGAGGATGACAGATTGGAGGGCAGCCTGGGCTACATAGTGAGACTTTGTCTCAAAATTTTGTTAAAAAGGGCTGGGGAGGTAGAACTCTGGGGTCAGTCCCCTGTACCACAAAACAAAACATGGCGAGTAAGAAAAGTATGGAAAGTAAAGAGAGAGGGAAGAAGGAAGGAAGTTAACATTGGTAGAGCGACTCGCACGATCAAGGTGCTGTCATGAATTGCTGTGTTTTTCTAGCCCCTAAACAGGGAGACAGGTAAACACAGTGTTGTCCTGGGGCTGGGTCTCAGGGTGGCGTGGACGGCTGAGAGGCCTGGGGCAGGTAAGAGGCCAACCAGGGCCTCTCTTCTTCCATCTCAGTCTCTCACCTCGGTCTGTTTGGCCTAAAATGTAGCAACAGTAGAGGAAGCCTCTTTCTAAGAAAACTGTTTGCATGTTAGACCTTGAAACCTGAACGGGTGCTCTCCAGATGCTTGTGCGTGGCAAATCCCCTCTGGAGCAGCTTACCCCAGGGATTATCTGCCAGGTGGGGACTGCTTGACTGCCGAGCGGAACGAGTAAAGATGACCTCAGGTAGTATTGTTTGGAATCTAGCTTTAGGAGAAAATGTGGAGACATCTATTTACTTTATATTTCTCCTTTTTATTATTAAGATATATTTCATAACCATTCAGCCTCTTGAAAATAATGTCAGTATAACATAACCACTTTTTGTGGCAAAAAAAAAAAAAAAAAACGCAAATAAAAAAGAAAAAAAAAAGCACCTGGCTAGCAAGCGCAAGGTCATGAGTTCGGTTCCTGGTACCGGAGAAATGGCAAAAAAAAAAAAAAAAAAGCGCAGCTTGTAAGGGAAGGGATCCGTGTAAATTCTGCTGTTAAAGAGGGGTCAGGTGTCGGTGTCAGAGTGCGGGCCCAAATCACTGGAGCTTCCTTGAGCAGTGGGCAACAGAGCTTCTGCTCATGTGTGGCTGAAAGGAGGACAAGGAGAGCAGCAGAGAGAGGAAGTTGCAGGAAGGAAGCAAATGTAGAGGAGAGGCAGGGTGGGGTGTGGGCATGTTTCCTGCCCCGGAGCATGGGCAAAGGCGGGATGCGGGATGGTGCTGGGTGCTGGAAATCAAGTTCCAATGAGACCTCTCATCAGGAGCAATGGAAAGTCACAGAAACCATAGGGCAAGTTAAACTAAAATCCATGTTGTATTCTGAGACCTGTCCCCACAGGGAAATATGTCTGTGTTGTCTTTTAGGAGCCTTTCCACCTCCCAAGGGCCATAAGGAAGCTGTTTCCCGGGAGATGACCCTCAGCAACGCGTGGATATTCTTCATACAGTCGTTCGCGTTTTTGTCAGGCTATATGTGGTACAGCATCATTCAGTATTTTTACCATTGCCTGTTTTAGATATTGACTCAGACTTGTCATAGGAGTGCAGACTTCCGTAAGTGTGCATTATTTACATGTGCAAATCAGAATATATAAAAAAAGCAAAGGAAATTCAATGGATGAATTACTATTTATCCCCCTTTGGGATATTTTAAAACTCTGCTAAAATGAGGATCAGTAATATAATGACCTGCTAATATATTTTAAGAACTTCATGTCTTAAAGCGATACACTCTACCATATATTTAAGCAAATATCACATCTGGAGAAGCAGAAATCATAAAACTGTCTTCGAAGACTGAAAGAAACTCTGTGGCCACCAGCTGCCCTTGGTCATTGGGTTCCAGCGCAGGGGTCTTGTCCACCCCCCCCCAGGTAGCAGTCTCTAGAGCTGGGCTCTGTGGGGCCTGCCCACAGCCACCTGTGCCATCGCTGTCACAGTGAGCAGAGCCGGGGCACCTGCAGAAGAATGGATTCAAACTCAGGCCCCAGCCCTGGGCTGAGGAACGCTGTGGGCCTTCTGTGGGGGTGCGGCTGTCTCCACCGCTCTCCTCCTGGCACAGGCCGTGTTCGCAGAACCAGTGCGGCCCAGCACCGTGTTTACATGTGCTAGTGCTTTCCCGTGCTTGGGGCAGAGGGCCCTTTTCCTCCTTTTGTGTGGAAGGCATATCATAGATTGATCATTGTATTTTACAAAATGCACTTTTATAGATGCAGATATAGCCAAGGATAGTAACATACCCTGAAAACACAAGCGAGCCTCAGCAGCAAGCCAGCTCCCAGAGGCTTCCCTGTCTCTGCCCACTCATCCGCGGGTGCTTCTGGTGCAACCCTGCCCTGCACCCCTCCTGTCACAATGCCTCATTCGTAGCTCGAGCCCTCTCCCCATTTTGACATAGCACTAAATGCACTTGGGGATGGTTGACAAAGATAATGCAAAACATTTACATGATCAGCTTACAGAGAATAGACTAGTTTATTAGGAAACTAAGAGCTAGAGCCAAACATTGGCCTGGAGCAGTGACGGGTTCTCACACCACAGCCGCAGACCATGGTCAGTCCCGTGTGCCGTCACTGCATCCGTGCCTGCCCCTCCACACGGGCGTAGTCAGGAGAGGGAGAGAGCAGCACAGGGGTTTCTGGCCTCAGGCAGCTGCTGGTGAAGAGGATAAAGTCAGACTTCGGTTCTTTCCAGGAAACCTTTTCTTTATTTGTCACTATGTTCATCTGATTTACCTCACAGGAGAACCAAACTCCTAGAAAGTGCTGGCACTGTGTTAGTGTTGAGATCGAAGATGTCTTTTGGCTGAGGATCGAAGCTGTCCAGATCCCCGTCAGTGGTAGTTTTAAGAGCACTGTAGACCCCCGTGTTGTCACTAATCTCACAAATAATTCTGAGCAGTAGGCTGTGAAACAAAACAGGCTAATGCTTTCTGTTTTCAGATAAACCAAAAACACTGAAGAGATGTGAATTTTCCCTGGTTATGTGGGAAAGGTGGAGCAACACCAAATATAAAAGCCCACAGCAGCTTCATCTTTAGGGTAACTCGGAGTGTACATGGAACAGCAGGATGTGTCAACTGAAATACCTCAAGGAATATTTACTGCTGCTAAACTGCAGCGACAGTGTTAATAGGAATGGCTTGGGAGCAGTTGTTATAGAATGCAATGGTTTTGAAACCTGAGTAATTGGTCATGTGTTCTGCAGTGACAGTACGTGAAGCCAGTCTCAGCAGAGATAGAAAGCCAAAGAGAAGCTGTCCCACACTTCTGTTTGAGGCTGGCGAACACCAGTCAGTTTCAGGATGAGTTGGAAATGTTCATTGGAGGCATTAGTCAGCCATCTGGGGAGAAGTTGCTCCCTGCCAAGTAAGCATGCACAGTCCTAGCTACTGGGCCAGGCCTCATCGTGAAGCCAGACACAGGCAGAGTGGGCACTCCTATCCCAGAAAACACACGCATGTGCACGTACAGGTGGCTGGCCACTTTGCCATTGCTGTGCTCCATAAGAATGTGACATTGCGGAGTCCACTGTGTGCATTAAACTCTCCTGTAAGATGCTTTACTTCTCCAGTGCCGTGTCCTTTCCGTAGTCTCCAGAGTGACCAATACCTACACCTGTGAGTTGGTTTTTGAACATGGATCTGTGAGTTGTAAACAGATGTGTATTTGTTTTGTTTGTTTTCAGTTTTTTTCAGATGTGTATTTGATCTGCCTGCCCCTCTTTCATTCTTTCTGAACATGTTCTGTCTCTTCAGTTTGCAAAACGTGTTACTTGAGAACATTGGTCATGCTTTCCTGATCAGGAACTGGAGTTCATCCTCTTGCACTGGGGAATGTGGAAGGAGAGGATCAGTGTTCTGTTGTGGCTGTTGGGGAGGGGGCAGCAAGATGCCACTGTGCAGAGCTGAATAAAATTCCTGTCTGTACTTTCTTTATAAAGACAGACGGAAGAGGTTTTACATCTTGCCAAGGTTAATGAAGAGAAAACTGTCCCCAGTTTGCAGAGGTGGCTGGTTTAGGATTTCAGCACTTCTCTGGCCCAGCTGGGCAGCATGGGTTGGGCACTAGCTGCTGGAGTCCTGGTGTCAGCAAGTGATGGTGTTTGAGCACTTGCTCAGCCACAAGCAGGCCCAGTGACTGTAAAAGTGACCAAAGTAGCAGCTCACCCTTAGCTTAGAAAGAGTTGTTGGTGTTGAGATGCACGTGTAACAGGGACACCCACAAGCAATGGAAGAAAAACCAGAGTGGGAAATGATGTTTGGGGGACAAACAAGGCAGTTGAGAATTTAAAAAGGTAGCTGTGAGTTCATATCTATCATATTATTAAATAGTTATGGATATTACAACCAGTACTTAATTTTCCGTGGTGAAGGAACTAGGGATTATGGTGTAATTATTTACTTGACAAATGGAGACTAAGTCATAGGGAAGCCAAAAATTCACTTCTGTGTAGGAGTTTGAATTTCTTCTCTCATCAAACATTTTTTCTTTCTAGAAGGATGCTTACTAATTTAAAAAATAAGAATTCTTCATTAATTTCTTTTACCTATGTGTTTATGATTGCATTGTGGAGTAGTGAAAGGACATGCAAACACCAAAGCCCAAGCAGTCCCTGGGCTGAAAAAGGAGTCCCTGGATCATCAAGAATTGGTGGGACCAAAATTATTCTCGGTCTCTTGTGCAATTGAAACCTTAGATCCCCCACTGTCACCTCAGCAGGTCACTCTGGTGTCGTCCATCTGGATCGGTGTCGAGGGGGCCACTCAGTCTTCGCTCACGTTGCTCACCTCTGGTGGGTTTGTCTTGTGATGTTCTTGACAATCACTTCCCTAAAGACTCTTCTGAACTACTTGGTCCTGGTTATCATCATAGAAAGTAGTCTTTAATAATGGGTAGTTTTCTTGTATTCTTTTTATATTTAAAAAGAAAATGTTTTATTTGCACTACTGAATAGGAAGAGTTAACTGTTCTCTTTGTTCTTTTTTTTGAAGTCACTGCACAGGACTTCATTTCAAAGTTATCCTTGTGTGTATATTCAGCTCTGGCCCACAAGGGATAGGTAGAAATTACATATGTACATTGCCTTGCAGTGCTGTGGGCCTTCCATCTGTAACACGCAAGGCAGAGTCTGCAGGAGCACTGGGCACCAGGTACAATGGTTCATTTTATGAGAAGTAGAGATTAATATGTTTGGGACCAAAACCACCTAGGTGGGAAATTTCTCGATCACAGAAGCAGTCATTGGTTGGTGCTTTATTGGAATCATTTCGTACCAGTCCCCAACAACTACGAGCTGGACCCTGGCAGTATGCTGAGAATGCCGAACTGTTGGGGAAGGGGGACTGTAGCCATACGGAAGATAAAATGTGGGGTTTTCTGCAAAATTTCCATATGAGGATTTTTACATTGAATTTTTTAAAAAATGCTTTAAAGAGCAAAAAAATTTTCAGTGTATTATAGTTGCAAAATATGCACACATTTTGAATTGCTTTATTTTTATTGTGTAAAACCGTTGATAAACGACTGTGGTGCACAAATTCTTTACGTGTAAGGAGTCTATGCATTTTACAGGAACTTACTTTATGATTGGGTAATGAGATAGTTGTACATTCAACTGCCATTATTTTTATTAAGTGCTTTCATTTTCTTTACAGTTACTATGAAGTTGTATTTATTTTATACAGATGGGTTTTCATTTTCCCGATGCCGTAATGTTTACTTCAGCTTGCTGACTTTTCTCTGTGTATCTGCATGTTGAACTGTGTGATAAGAATGAATGTAAAGGCTGTGGCAACTGTAACCGGTATTTGTAAAGGGCTGGTCACATGTGGATCTGGTTTATGAATGCATTTGGGATGATTTTAGGAACAGGTCACCTTTTCAGAAACTGAGATACAAACCAAAAGCAAAAAATAGATAGCTGGTTCTGTTATTTTTTTTTAACTTAGAGAAAATAAAGTTCATTTTTTTTTAAGTACAGTGCTTTTACTTCTCCATAACGGGGCCAGGATGACTGTGCTGTGCAGAGCTCTTTGGGCATTAACAGCTGGGAGCATGGGCTTTGAGCCCCGTGCAGCGGGCTGCTGAGTGCAGCCACAGCGGCAGTGCAGAAACGCTGGACTCCTTTGTGCTCAGAAAGGTGTGCTCCCTCATCCCCTTCCCTCCCCACCGGTGGTGTGCTGGTCGGTGCTTAGCAGCCCGCTGGCCTGGAAAAAGCTGTGTGTACAGGTGTACATAAAGTTGTTGTACATTTTAGTGATAATAAGGATCTGTAACACAGTTAACAAATAATAACATAAATATTTTATTGTGAATTCCACATGGCCTGTTGATTCTCCTCGGATACCTAATTGCTTTTTGCTGGACCTTACAGCTGACCTTTGGTTGTATTTCAACCATGATTTGAATGACATCACCTCCTAATCCACGAACTCATCTCCCAGTGAACTCACTGTTAGTCTAATATGTGATCTTTAAAGCTCTGTTTTTGGTGCTGGGGACTGAACCCAGGGCTTCACATAAACTAGCTGTGCCACTGAGCTATATCCCCAGGCCCAAGCTCTTCTTAACCTTGTGTAAAACCACTTTTCAGCTTCAGCACTAATTCAGGTTTATGTAATTTAATAACAATTGTTTAACAACTGCTGGAAAATTCTAAAATTGAACTACTGGCTCCTGGGTGCCAGCAGAAGCTATCTCCAGCACACCACTGCCCTGGTTCATCTTATAGTAAGCTGTTTAACTATCCGTGTTGAATAAACTTCTCACAGTTAATTTACCCATGAGTCTGAGAAAACCCCAGTTATTAGCCTTGGTGGGGCTTAACGCGGTGGGAAAAACATTAAGATCCATCCCACCACCTGAGCTTTTGATTTCGAAGCACTTGACAAGAACAAACTCCGGAAGTGCGAGGGGAGAGTACAATGAAGTTGGCTTAATGTTTCCATCTCTCAAAGCTGAGTAACCGTGGTCTAAGCATCACTGAGATTTTGTTTTATACATGTATTGGGTGTTTAGTTACTTGAGTGTCAAGTATGTTTGATCCCACTGAAAATTTTAAATGTGTTACTTTATCTTGCACAGTCTGCCAAATAATTTAAATAGTTAACGGTTCAGTCTACCTCTTTTTCGACCTGGACTTAGGCTGCTGTGTGGTGAGGGTCTCTTTCCCGCGGGAGGTACTTCTGTGGAGACACAATGCGCTGGGGCTGAGGCCTGGAAGCAGTGGGAGCGCTCAGAGATCTGTTGCTGACCAGCCCTGCTCCTCATGAACCGGGGGAACCCACTGTTTATAATTTCCCCTCAGTATGAAAATGTATGTTTTTAAAATGTTTCTTCCTGCTGAAAACTGTATTTTTAAAAGAAAAAAGAAAACCATCTTTTGGCTCTCAGAAGTCAGCTGTATGAGCAGGCGTGACCATATCATAACATGCTGATACGATAGAAATCAATAAATTTTTACCTCTCAGGACTTGGGTCACCTTGTTCTTAACTCTTCGTGACTTGACAAACTGAGTCTCCACAGTTGAAGTCAAATGGGAACAGACACAGGGAATCCGGGGGGAGCTCGGTAACCCCAAAAAGGAGTCAGACCCCTGCTGTAATCGGAAAAAGACTCCTAGCGGGGGAGGGGTCAGCGCGGGCACAGAGGAAGACCCTACCTGCTTTCTGCTGGTAGCTGGAGCCTGGCGGGGGCACGACCTCCCCTCGGGATCGTGGCTGCTGGCAGCATTGGGACAGCCCGGGACTGCAGAGGGTGAGGGCGCCGCTGCTGAGTCACCCATGCAGAAGACCCGGTCAGACTGGGGATCGCTGCCGTCTTCGTGCGCCGTTGGGGGAACAGAGCTGTGGTACCAGGCCTACAGTCCCGCTTGCGCCATCTTCATCCCTTTAGTTCATTTTTGATCAGAAACCCCCTGAAGAGCCTCCGCTGCAGACAGGGTACTGGGCCCAGGTCCTGGACACACAGTGGACAATAAGGGCGCGGGCTTGAGCGCGGGGGTGGGAGGGGGGATGGGAGACAGAAACAGCCGGCGGAGATGCCCCCAGCATGCAGCCCTCGTCCAGATGCCACTCGCATGCGCTCTGCCCTGAAAGGGCCACCTCCAGTGCCCCGAGAGGACCTCCCGCTTCAGGCAGCCGCCCCTTTTACAGGAGAAAGGGACACCTCTCGGCCACCAGGCACCCCCCAGGATGCCCAGCAAAGAGACATGTCCCCAGTGCTGCTTTTAGTCAAAGCATCTGTAAAGCACCGTGGGGCCTTTGCCTTTCCCTGACTTAGCGCTTTCCAGTAAAGACCAACGGTGGCTTTGGATCCGTTGCTTTTGACCCGTGTTGTATGGGACAGAGGGGACTCCCAGCAGCACAGGAGCCCAGTCAGCAGGACTTAGGCATTGGCCCATTAGGCGTTGCCACGTTCCTGGTTCAAGGGAGTCACAGGGCCAGCCCAGACGCAGCGTGTGGTCCCGACGGGTGGCTGCTTAGGAGCTGTCACAGCAAGACATTCCCTAGCTATTCGAGGAAAGAGCACAAGTGAGGTCCAGAAGAGCCCTCACACTTTGACAGGTTTGCCCACAGTTCCCATTAATTGGAAATGTTTGATTTTCCCAATGCTTAAGAAAATTAGATCTTGCACTGTCACTCACGTAAGTCACATGGACACCTAAAAGACCTTTGGGGTGGGGAGAGAGGCAGGGTCTTGCCATGCAGTTCAGGCTGGCCTTGAACTCACTGTGTAGCCCAGGCCAGTCTCAGACTTCCAGTGATCTTGCCTCAGCCTCCCAAGTACAGATATCACAGCTGTGTGCTGCCCCACCCTGCTATTTTTGTATTATTTTTTATACTGATTGGATTTGACTCATTGACTGTTGGGATTTCAGAACTGGGAGGACTTTATGTATCGCCTTGTTTGGGGGATGGCGGATGTCATCCTTGTACAATTTTGGCGTGTTGCTGGCAGCATGGAATGGCTACTTGATGGAATTACGGGGACTAAAACCAGTTCTCTTGGTGCACGCCTGTAATCCCAGCACCCGGGAAGCTGAGGCAGGAGGATCGTTGCGAGTTCAAGACCAGCCTGGGCTACCAAGTGAGCTCAAGGCCAGCCTGAACTGCATAGCGAGACCCTGTCTCAAAAAGACAATAAATCAATAAAAAATAAAACCAGTTCTCTTAGTTCCCATTGTTTCCCCAAATCAGCAGACGACCTCTGTTTAGGTTTTTGTTTTTGGTAAATAAGAGTTAAATATTAAGAATTAAGTACATTTGCCAACAAGGTTGAAGTCTGCCATAATTTCCTTTTCTGCCTTTAAAGTAAGCACAATAATCCCCAAACCCTAAAGGATACTTGTATGTGTTGCCCTCAGCTGTTGTTGAGATAGTTAATGAATTAAAAAAATCTGAAAACCATGCTTTTTTCATCTTTTTGGGTACAGAAATGAAATACACTTTGTTTTTGCACTGTGCTACTGTACGTGAAGAGAATGCCTTCATTTCAGATAGGAGTGAATAGAGATTTCAATCGTAATAGTTCCTTTTGTTAGGAAACAGGCAGTGGGTAAAATCCTAGGCTATGATTGCATCTAGTGCCCAAGTATCCTTCCATCATGGTTCCATGAAATTCAAGGTTAGCTGGCGTGATGGTGGCAGTGACTCAGGAGGTTGAGGAAGGAAGATCACAAGTTGAAGTCTGGCCTGGGCAACTTAACTGTTCCAAAGAAAACAGTCCGCGGGTCCATCTCAGCAGTGGAGAGCTTGTCTAACGTGCATGAGGCCCTGGGTTCTATCCCCAGCACCCCACAGGGGCAGCAGGGAGGCTGTCAGGGTTTCGTCCAGCTGGGAGCCCACAGCAGAGCCTGAGGTTGAGCCTGTGAGCTTGACTCCCAGCTCTGCCTTTTGGCAAGCCTCTTAACCTCTCAGCCTCACTGTGCTGTGTGTCTAGTGGGAAACTTGCAGTTCTCGCCAGTGCTGAAGAAGATAATGCATGAGGCACACAGGACAGGAGCAGTGTGCTCTGCTCCACTCCTGAGGGGTTTATAGGAAGTGTAAATGGTCTCCATCCTCGCCCTCATCAGTCGCATCCATGCTGTGGGCCGTTCACACCCACCAGCCTTTCTCTGAGAGTCCTGCCCAGATCCTTTGCGTCTCTAAGGTAGGCAGAGGCAGCCAGCGTAGCTGAGCATTGTGTCTGATATGTCGGAGGCGCTAAGACAGCAGCACAAAAGCGATTTTTAGTGGGAGAAGCAGTTAGGAAGGGGAGGAGATCCGGCCTACAGAGATTAGATCTGCTGGCCGGAAGACCTTACGGTCCCAGTAGGAACTGGTTTTTGCTTCTGAGACGTGATGTGACTTGCGGTGAAGACCTTGAACTCATTATCCAAAGGAAGGGAAATGTAGTTTCTCGTGTTTGGAAGCTGTCCACCAGCCTGCGGCTCTGCATAATTCATGTGATCCTAAATATAAAACTTGGCACTGAAAAGCACTCAGGAAGGTGAAAGTAACACGTTTTCCTTTGCTAGCTGTAGAAGTCTCCGAAGTTTTTATCTTTCTGGGTTTTTTTTTTAGGCAAGGTCTGGCTATGTAGCTTGTACTTATCTTGAACTCCCTATATAGCCCAGGCCGGCCTCAAACTCTCAGGAGGCCTCCTGCCTCAGCCTCCTGAGTTGCAAGTGTGTGTGCCACTACACCCAGCTTTGAAGTTTGTGTCTTGAGAAATGACATTTTTATCTTCCCATGGTGAATGCTGGGTGCTCAACTCTTACGAGTCAGGGTACCCGAGAATCCAAGCCTCTTGGTATGGAGAGGGCAGGTACTGAGTGGATGCAAAGGGGACAGGGAGGAAACAAGATGGCATCCCAGAGATTAGCTGCCGTGGGCCAAGGGCTGGGACAGGGTCACTCCCTCGAGCCTTCCTAGAGGGGAAGAAGCCCTGGAAGCCCGGTGCGACCCTGGCCCCTCCCTGAGTCCTCCCAGCCCCTCCAGCCTGCTGCCCGGCTGCCTTTCCTGGAAACTCCCTTGCTGGCCCAGCGGCTGCCACACTCTCCTGGAGACCCATCGGGAGGAGGAGAAGCTCCCACGGGCTGCGGGTCACCCAGGCCAGGACGCCGTTTCCCTGTCCTCAGTGTCCCCAGCACACAGGGCCCTTGTGAGACCAGGTGCAGCCGTGCTGCCAGAGGGGCCTGCGCACCCAGCTCGGTCGTGGCCAGGCAGGGAGGAGCCGTGTGCTGGCACTGGCTGCTCGGCTCAAATCCTCCTTCTCAGCCAGGTCGGGTGCACTGCGGCCTGGGCAGGCAGAGGCCTGGACTCTGGAGCGCTGTGTGATTCATGCGACGTGGGGTTGCCGCCTGCAACCCCATCTGTGCCTCGCTTGCAGGCAGGCAGCGAGATGGGGAGGGGTCTTCCGGCCGTGTGGGGCGTTGTCACCGGGGGAAGGGACGGGCGCTGCAGGAGGGTGGGGGTGGGGACACTGCAGCATGAGGGCAGTGGCCTCGGCTGCCACCCCCACCAGCCTTGGTGGCAGATCGCCCGTTTTGCTCACTTGCTCAACCACAGATGAACCTTGATTGGCCTTGACTCGCGCTCCTGAGCCACTGACTGGCTGATCGGGGGTGCAGCCTGGCCAATAGAATCAAGGGGGCGCCAACCAGCAGCTTCTGGGAAAAGCTGCTCCCATTACCAGTGCCCCCGCGCCTTCTGTCCCCTGACCCTACTGAACTGCTAAGCCAGGTGCACCTTGCTACCCCGCGCCCCGCGACCCACACCTTCCTCTTTCAGTTGTTACAGCTGCAGCTGTGAAGCTGAGCCCTGGAGCAGCCACGGCCATCTGGTGAGACAGGAGACGGCTCAGACCTGGAATCCCAGCACCCTGGGAGGCCGAGGCAGGAGGATCACAAGTTCAGTCCCAGCCCGGGCAACTTAGGAAGACTCTCAAAGTCTGGGGATGTAGCTCAGTAAAAAGGCCCTGGGTTCAGTCCCCAGTACTGCATATAAATAGCTAAATAGACAAATCGATACATAAGTAAAGCTAAAGCAGAACCAAGACCTTTGTCAAGCTGCCAAAGGAAGGGCTCCTGGCGTGAGCCATTCACACATACTACTCTATTCCCAAGAGGATGAACAATAAAATAACAATTGCTTGGGAAGAGAACATTATAGTCTGCAAAACACTTTTATTTTTTATTTATTTGTCTTTCTGAGACAGGGTCTCGCTATGCAGTTCAGGCTGGCCTTGAGCTCACTTTCTAGCCCAGACTGGCCTCGAACTTGCAACGGTCCTCCTGCCTCAGCCTCCCAAGTGCTGGGATTACAGGCATGCGCCACCATGCCCAGCTAAAGCAGTTTTATGTTCTATTGTGTTTATTTATTTACTCTTGGTTTTTAGAGACAGGTCATGGGGCCGGGGGGTATAGCTCCGTGGTATAAGTGCCTTCCCGGTACACGCAAGGTCCTGAGTTCAATTCCTGGTACCACACA